GTAAACAGACAATTTAAATTAGGACGGAGGGAGTACGTATTACGGAGTATATCGTGACACAAAATTGATGCATGGAAATAGTTAGGCACAGCGGCCTTCATGAACGTGTGACAACCTCATCGGCTAAGAATGTGGGTGTGATTAGACCTGGCAAAAACTGACCCAATCTGCTTTTGACCCGATACCTGACCCGAAAATACTAGGTTTTGAACAAAGATTTTGCTGACCGAACCCGAAATGACCCGCTAAAAATGAGTCAAATCCGACCGAACCCGAACCCGACCCACCCGCTAATCTAAGATTTTTTCAAAATCATATACTCCGTATTTAATATGAAATATAGTGTTATAAAAATAAGATTATAATTTTATTTCTTTGCTTACTACTCATTTTTTGTGTATGGATTTATATCTTTATAAGAATTTTTAATGATATCGCATAATTATAGTACATTTTTTCAAAATTTCTACACATTTAATTTTTTTTATTCTTAATATTGACACTAGTTCATAAAAAATTACTTAAAATTTTAAAAAAATAAATGAAACTCGTAACCTGTTGGGTCAACCCGAACCCAATGACACTGGGTCATGAACATGTAGTTGTCAACCCGAACCCGAACTTATCCGAACCCGAAGTAACCCGAATCCAAGGTGACCAAACTCGAACCCGACTTGACCGACCGATTTGCCAGCTCTAGGTGTGATGCAATTTCTCAATAATAATTACTCTCTTCGTTTCTTAAAACACTTTATCTTTTATTTTTTTGTTTTCTCCAAACACTTCTACTTTCTATTAAAAATCCCTTTTACCCTTTTTTCTCACACTATCTATCACATCATACTTTTTTACTAATAATATATCAATCATATCTTACTTTTACCCATCACATCAATGACAAAATTGGAAAGTCAACACAAATATACAATCCGTATTTCTCCTAAAAGTCAAAATAGGTACTGTTTTATGAAACACAGAGAGTATATTACAACCATGCTAGAGGTACATCAAAATATACACTGACACAATATGTTAGTGCAATCAAAAAAATTTGCATTAGCCTTTTGTGTCTGTGTGAACCATCACACTAACATTACACTGACACAAAATGAAGGTGCATCGATGTATAATTTGAGGTACAAATAACTTAATTATGTATATATAAAAATAAATGAAAAAATGTGTTTAATTTGTTTTGTTAGACGTGGTAGTAGTAATTAGTAATTTATTTATTTATTCAAAAGATTATATATAAGGTTAAATATATTTTTATTTCCTGTAAAATAAACTAATTTTTATTTTAGCCCATCTAATTTTTTTATTAATGAACTCATCCCTGTAAAAAATCTTTTTTTTCAAATAAATGTTCCTCCCATCGATCTATAGCTTATATTGACAATGTTTTGGGGGACCAAATATTCAAAATTTGCCAAGTTTGAAAAAATTAATGGGATCAAAAACAATTTTTTTTAGTTTTATATGGATAAAAAACATGATTAATATTTGATCTAGATCGCGTGGGAGGACTACATGAAATACTAAATTAATAAGTAAGTATGAGTTCACTCGAAAAATTTTAATTCGATTGACCAAAAGCAAATTTAGCTAATTTATAGAGACCAAGAATATATTTAACCCTTTTATATACTCCATTATAACCCGTTTGTAATCTGACTAGGACTAGTTCTAACTATATCCAAAGGTAACTATACTCTTTTATAACTTTCTTATTACTTGAGTAATACAATTATTTATTATTCCATCACACATAGTATCGAGAGCTATAGCATCTTTAACCTTTTTTCTTCTCGCTCAGTTCTACTTTCTCGGGCAATATGAGCATCGTCGTTGATTATGGTACCCTCTGCATATATACTCAACTTGAGACAAGGCGGATTCACTACTAGTTTATTGAGGCTTGGGTGGGATGCCTTTTTTCGTCTTTCTACTTTTGTCTCATATCATATTTAACCTTTCTACTATTTGTGTATGTCTCAAAAATAGCGGGACGAAAGGAGAAATCCATAATTTCTTCCCCGTATCAAATTTATTGCTTTTTACAACTCTTTTTGTCCTAGTGTATTTGTCTAGTTTGACTTTAACAAGTCAAACAGAACAAATTTTGAACTTCAATTAAACAAAAACTGTAATGTGTATTAGTATAAAAATGACTTTATTAGATTTGTCTTGATAAAAATTTTCAAAATTTTATCTTCTTGTACTAATATGCAATAGAATTTGAGAATAATTGGAGCTTAAAATTTGTTCAGTTTGACTCGAAAAAATTATACTAGACAAATACATGAGTAGGACTGAGGGAGCTGAGTAATAAAGACTTATTTCTTGTATCCTCATTACTCTTAGAATAATACCATTATTTCATCCTAAATACATAAGAAAACAAAAGTGATTATTTACCTTAAGAAGGGAATTTATAACTTCAAGATATAAAGTTGAAAACATACTTGAAGTGTTAATAATTGAAGTTCGAGTATATGTTAATTTGGTACAGAAACACAAGTACCACATGAACTATATATATCATAGTACAAAAACTCATCATTCACTTAATTAATCCTTTCCCATATCTATACGTATCTTAGGCCATTGATGCATGATTGGTTGTACATCATAAAACCATACAATTTCCACATGGATAATTAAGTAACCCACACAATGATTTAATTTTTATTTTCCCTTTCTCTAAGTCCAACCAAAAATCCATTATTCCATTTGGATAAGTGATCAACCATTAATTACTTAGCTTGTTCCATGTTAAATAACATTTCTTCTTTGACAATGACTGGGCTATTTAATCGTGACCTCTTTCTCCTCTCGATTGGCTTTGTTGCGACCTCTTGCCACCAATACTTCTTGTTCTTCTTGTTCTTCTTCTTCTTCTTTCTCTCATATTAAATTTAACACTAGTTTTATTGTTTCATCTTATTCTTTTCTAAAGTCCTCCTGTTTTCTCGATTTACCATGACATTATTACCAATGGCGACTATCAATGACTAATGCGGAGTACTACTTTTCTAAATATTAATGATTGTTACTCCGTATTTCTTAAAAATAGAGCAATAAAATTACTACTCTGCAATTAATTTTTAATAATAATTAAGGAAATAATAGGAAATACATAATATTATCTCTGTCTCGGAGCATATGTCACGTTTTGACTTTTTTCAATCAACTGTTTTTAATTTTTGACCTATTATTAAATAAAACATAAATTGTATATTAATTCGATAAAGTAATATTTTGAAAAAATTTTATATATTAAATCTAATATAACTATTTTTGTATCAAAATTTAATATTATTTTTTTAATATAGGGTTAAATTTTATCAATTTTGACCAAAAAAAGTAGACAAATACTCAAGAACAGAGGAGTAATTAATATGAAGTAATAATAATAACTAGTGGTATTTTTTTAAAAAAAGCACAGAAGTAAAATTACTAATTAATTGCTTAAAATAAATAATAGTATTAATAATAAGTGTAATTTTATAATAAGTGCTATTTTTCTAAATAACAATTAGTATTTTTATAGAAAAGAGTGGTAAAACTAACAATTAATTTTTAATAATAATAGTAATAATAATAAATCAAAAAATTAATAATAATAATAGAATAAGAAAATAATAATTATGAAGTAATTAATTATAATAATTATTAACAAATAATAATAATTATAATAGAAGAAGAAAAAAAACAAAAGAAAAGGTAAAAGAAGAAAAAAACAGGGGTGGGGGGAGGAATGGAGGTCACTGGAAGGCAGGAGAAAGAAGAAGAAATGAAGAAAAGAAGAAGAAAAAGAAAAAGAAGAGAAGAAGAAGAGGAGGAGGATAACGGAGAAGAAATATTAACGGAGGGAATGACGGATTGTCACTTCGGAGTAAGTTTTCGAATATCTTAAGGTACCTCGAAGTATATTTTGAAAAACATTGGGACCTGCCAGTCTTTATCCCAAAAATAGGGGTACCTAGCAACAATTTTTTGTTTTTTCTTCTACTATCGTTGATTTGATTTCCATCTTATTCTCCCTTCTCAATTCATGACTATAAAACCAGAACAAACATCAAACATGTTCTACTTCTCGTGATCTAAAGTAGTCAACTGTTCAAATTTATCGGGAAAAGATGATAACATCAAAGCCAGATCCTCATCCTCAACATTCATATCTAAATTCAACATATATGCAAATTATTTATCATAGTGATCTTTTCATTCACCGTACTACCTGACTTGGTTATCAAATCGAAACAACTTTTTTTTCATAAGGAGCTTGAAAGCATACTTTTGTTCTCTAGGTAGGCACAATCAAATTGTTCAACAGAACAACCAATTAATGATACTCCAATCTCTATATTCAACCTCTTCTAGTTTCTTTTCCTCAATAGAAATATGTTAGACAACAAGAACTTCGACCATTATGATTTATGACCAAGAGCCTGATGCCCTCGGCGTAACATTTGAATCAACATGTTTTATTCCTTGATCTTTTATTGTCATTAGAAACTCAATGTATAGTATTCAATATTACAAGTACAAACAAACCAAGGACAAACTTTCGGCTCCGATACCATTTGCCGAAAAAATTAAGCAACTTTTCCACTAAAATGAAACAAAATGAAATGCACCATATCAGAACAAGTGAACCAAACACAACACTAACAAAAAAATACCCAACAAATAATACTGAAAAGAAAAAATCTTAACAAGAGTACATAAAGCGCAATAATAAAAAAGATAGAGAGATACCCGAAAACTTTGATAACAGAGTCCAGCGAAATACACTTAACTTTCGAGCATCACTCAAGTAGCTCATTCTTATTAATTAATGTGAAAGAAGACAATACAAATTTTAGGATGACACTGATAAGAAGATGAGTTTATTTATTAGTACCAGATTAGAGTACAATTTATTTACTTCCAAAAGCTCAAATAGAAAAATGAGAAAAACAATGTGGGACAGAGAGAATAGATTGGTTCACATAGAGAATGGATTAGAATTATTCCTCGGCATTACACGAGCAAGAAATATCATTTAGTAGACAATGAATTGCTTCATATTATAATGATATAATCACATAGCTAGCCTATTTACAAGGCAAAATAAATTCAACGAAACCCAATCTAAGCATATTGGATGCACAACACAAGTGTAAGACACAAATATGCCAATAAAAGTACCTGTAGTTTTGCATGGTATAATCCAAGAAATCTGCATCATTTCACCAGCTAAAGCAAGAGGGTGGGGTTGCATTAGGCGCGAGGTGGTGCCCCGACAAGTGATTTTGGATCTCACATAGAAATCTTGAACAGAATATTTCCACAAGTATAGCTAAAAATGACCATTTACAGGCATTCCCTCCGTGTCAATATAAAGTTTCCATGAAAATTTGACACTATTTTTAGTTGTGTTTCCAGGAGCTATACATTTTGTGTGAGGTGAAGTGCAAATTATTTTTTATCCATAAATTTTTTTTACCAAGAAAAGAATAAGAATCTTACTACGAGAGAGCAGACAATGGCAAGGAGTACCGGTTTATTTCTGTGAGAGCAGCGGTTCTAGCTTAGGGTCTGCAAAACCGGATGCAAGAGGACGTTGGTCGCCTGACTCAAGCTCGGGGATTGAGAACTCTTCTTTTCGCTGCTTCGGCAGCCTTTGGAAGGCACCTTGGGTGTTGTCTAATGATGATACTTCTTGTGTCTTGGGGAACTCGTTTAAGCTGTGGACGTGATGGAGACAAACTTGGACGGCATCGTGGACTCTGACGAAGTACCACTCCTTGCCGATTAGATCAACCACGCCAGATTTAGCTAGAGTTAGCAAGACTTCTTGGTTTGGATTGGAAATGGCTAACTGCAAAAGTTTCAAATCAAAGGTATGTGAGAAAATACTCCCCCTATTCCTTGAGAGAGAGAGAGAGAGGGAGAGAGGGAGAGGGTTTTATTTTGTTAAGCTACAAGTTTTAAATTTTTCTTAACTAAGTTTATCATATCAACCTTGTTTGCCAATATTTTTTTTGAAAAAGAACATGAAAAATTAACTCGGTTTGTCATTCTTGCTCCAAATTTTTTTTTGAAAATTTATATGAAAAAGTATGTTCTTTTGATCGAGGGAGCTCTTTTTTGGAATATAAAATGTTTAAGACAACTGTTTTTGGGATGAAGGAAGTATGTATATAACGAAGACTACTTTCAATTTAGTAGCAGTAGAAGAGCAGGCAAGAGTTTGTGTTCTAGATGTGTTGAGACAGTAATATAAACAAAAAAATGTAACAAGGAAGATAATTTTAAATCATTTTCTTGACCTGAATGTCCCTTGATTTGTATTCTTGATAGAGGTCTTTCAAAGCTTGAACAGCACTGGCGTCTATATATGTAACAGCTGAAATTAATAGAAAAAAATGTGGATAAGCATCATCAAAAATCCACAAAGACAAGAAACACCACTCTAAATTCTTCCATCCAAACACCATGATAGGTTTTGGTCTTTTGGAGGATTGGGAATGGAAGGCATTGGAAGACTGCGGAGTATATAATGTCCTCATGTATATTTGACATTTTATTATTAAAAATATTGAAAGATTGACATGAGCTTTTTACCATTTCTAGATATATCAAGGCATAAACAAAGCCCTCAAAACCCTCTATACATCCATTCAAAAAGATTGCTGCCCAATGCTTTCTAGACTTCCATTCAAAAAGATTGCTGCCCTCAAAACCCTCTATACATCCATTTCTAGACTTCCTGGACTTCAACTTCCTTTCTGATCACTGCCCAATGCTTCTCCAGTGTGGTACCCCGATCTCCCCCAAAGGCAGGCCCTTCAGATTCTTCAATATGTGGCTTAAACATGACAGATTTCAAGACTTGGTTTCCCATTCATGGCAGCCTGAGGTTAATGGAACTAAGCAGGTCTCTCTTTGTTCTAAACTAAAGCGCCTAAAACCATCCTTGAAATCTCTCAACAAACATGTTTTTAGTCATATATCTAACAGAGCTTTGGAAGCCAAGGAGGATTACTCAAAAATTATGAAGGACCTTATGAATGATCCCAATAACCAAACTCTCTTGGACCTGGCTGAAGCTAAAAGGAAGCAGGCCAACTTCCTTCTTGATGC